ACGCTGGGCAGCTGGGAGGCACGCAGGCTGCTTTTCCCGTACCTGGCATGTATGGTTGGTTCGTTGTAAAACTTCTGCCCAGCCCCATTCAAAATCCCTATAACAAGACCTCTGTCTTAGCAAAAGTTTGGGCTGGGCTGATGCTGCAAGCTGAGTGGGGAGGAAACTCATCCCGACATCCCCCCCACTGAACCAACAAAATCCACGCATGGCACACACCAATGGTTTTCTTGCCATGGGGAGGAGCGTAGTTTATTTTCTACCATTGGGTGCCCTCTTGTTCCAGCCTGTTCCTTCCCCACCAGGCTGAGACGCTGCCAGCTCCAGTGGGACCTGCCTTTCCTCTGCCTGCAAGGGCCCCTGCCGTGCCGGAGCTGCAAACCTTACCAACTTCTTATTTCCTTTTCAGTGAGCCCGGGGGAAGAGAGCGCCCGTGTGCGGATCGCCTCCCACCGTGCCTGTTCTCCCAGCTGCTGGCAGTGAGCTCTGGCGTGCCGGAGGAGCGGAGGGGAGAGCGAGAGTGAGCCCAAAGGGAGGTGGCCACCCCGCCGCGGCGGCCACTCCTCGCCACCCTGCAGCGGAGACAACCGGCTCCTGCCAGGTAGATGCCCGCGGGGGAGAAGAGAGCTTCAGCTGAACTGATGCATCTCGGCACCTGATAGCAGGCTCAGGTGAGGGCACATTCCTTGGAGACGGCTTGCATTTCCATGCTCCCTCCTCCAAACTCACAAACGGGCTCCGTAGCAGATGAGAATCGCCCCATGAGCTGTTGTGTGCCGTGGGTGCACGTGCTCGTAAATCGGCGGGAGCTCATCTGCGACGATGCCGGATGCTCTGGCTCGTGGGGACGTTGCTGGTGGTGTCAAAGCGAGTTGCAGTGGAGGTTCTCGCTTGGGTGTTCCCATTGCCTCTGCTAAGGGAGAGCGAGCGTGTTTTTATCCAGCGCAGCATCTGGCTCGGGTTTGGATACAAGGCAAGTTCACTGGGACAGGAGCTCATCTGAATTTTCTGTAGCACATCTGCAACTCACATAAAGTGATCTATGGGCAGTCATTTTCGCAGAGTCCAAGACAGAACATAAACCTCCATGCAGTTTGTCTGGCTTAGTGCTCCTTATGCTCTTAAAAAACAAAAACAAAACAAAAAAAAAAGGTTTGCTTGTGTGCTCTTGAGTTTTTGTTGTAGTCAAGGAAATAAACAGGCAAACAGGATCTCCTGTATCTTGGTTCATCCTGCTTGACAGCGATTTCACTCCTGAAGCCACAATTCACTTTGTGAGTGCAAGTCTGATTTCCTTTTCGGCAGCAGGGCTGTGGGTGAGTGCCAGATTTGGGCTAAGGCTGGTGCTGCATTGTTTTGAAGCTGGTGCCTGCCCAGGGCGCTTTCAGTCTGGGTTTGTGGATGGGAGAGGAGCTGCAGGTGGGGATCAGCAGAAGCCCTCGAGGCAAGCGCATCGAGTGTGCTGTCCATTTCGGCACTGAAATTTGGGTTTCTTGTAAAAACTCCTGTGGTGCTGGGGGTGGGGGGGCTGGCTGGGCTTGTACCC